TATAACCAACAAATATATTTAAGAAAAATCATGCTCGAAAAAGAAAAAACAGAATCAGTCGTTTGGGAACGAGATGTGCGAATCCTGACGAGGTTCTGCGATGAATCAATCAGTCAGAATAAAAAATCAGATCTTCAAAAAAATCATTAGTGACTATATCTACAGTTAATGATAATAAAGCTGGTGAGAAAGATGTGCAACCGGTTACAAATAACGAGGTCTCAAATTATGCTCGTTGGAAGACTTCGTGTGCAGAGGTCATGCTCATAATACCTACGGCGCTGGTCCAGTAAGTCCGCAGTCCAGTGGGCGCTAACGTAGTTGAGAGAGAGGGACTACTTGGCCGCGCCTATGTATCCCTTCACCGAAAGACCTAGGCCTAGAGTGCAGACGACCAGAGAGTTGTTCTGCAGAAAAGACATAGCTTCCACTAGGCTTCAGCTTTGACAGAGAATACGAAGAATAAGAAGAGATACGAAGTCGCTGGCCGAATGGTCCCCTCCCCTACGTTAGCACCGTTTAGGTGCTTCATGAAAGGACATGCCACGTCTCATGACATGCCAGTGATGTGCTAGGGAAAAAGAGAACTGTGTGGGTAAGTTTCCCCGGAATACGGAAGCCTTCTTTCGCATAACAGAAGCGATTCACCCAAATCGGAGCTTCTCCCAAGCTTGGGCAAAGATCATCATCCTCCCAGCCACTACAAGCCGTCCAACTTGGAAAACTGAAAAAAATAGAGTAGAAAGGGAAGGAATGGTGTCGTACGATGAGATGTCATGGCCGCCAGTGGCGTGTCATGAGACATGTCCTCACACATAAGATTACCGTCCTGAACTGCGGACTTATACCTTAGTGGGAGACGGACAAGACAATCGTAATTTGTCGCGGCGCCGCGCACGACGTATCGTGTGCCCATTCGGGGCAAATTCTAGATGTGCATCAGTTTGTGACTTGGAGCAGAGAAATTTATACGAATTCAAGCAAAGACAAGATTTCATGAGGGGCAAGAATTTTCCCAATCCTTCGACACTCTTATTCAAGGTGGGGAAACTCGTCTGTCGGGCGCGGTGTCGCTCGCCACGCCCATCAACGCGGCGTACCACGATTATCTTGTCACATATCCCACTGGTTGAGCACCTAACCTACTAAATAGGCTCACCAAAATAAATGCAAATACGTCAAAAACTACACGCATAAAATTTGCTCGCGCTACGATACACCCCACAGCCTGGCATGAATCGAATCGGCAAACGTGAAAGTCAATATAGATCGTTGTGCATGGCGCATTTGCGCCTGAGCTTATCTGAAAAAAATCTCTACTCATCAATGAAACCATTTTCAGGTAGAACTGGGTTATGCACAAGTGCTACGAATTGAACTCTATGGGTCTGTGGAAGTGGAAGAGCTCGTGCGACCACTCTTTGGATTGGTAATGGTCCTTGAGTGGCTGTTGGGCCAATAACGTCTTGACGTTCCTGACGTTGTAATGCTGGTAACGGTAAAGCTGTCGAAGCTGGAATATCATGGACTTGTGAAGATGTACAAGGACCAGAGGTAGAGCTTTCTTCCCGAATAGTAACGCTCCCAGTCTGCTGCAGCAGTGGAAAGTCGATCGCCTGCCAGTCAATCTGAACACATAAGTAAACTGAATGAAGCATCACCATGAGACTAACATCACGAACAACAGAAAATGCTATCGATGCTTCTCTAAATGTTAGACTGACGGAAAAAATCCTGCGACACTAGCAATTTGGCTTTTCAAAAGTTCCAAAACCATTGCGACCGCCCTCTTTTTTCCTTAGAATAAGAGAAAGTTATGCCAAATATAAATTGAGTAAGTTTAGATTTCAAGAGCGAAGAATAAGAGATCAAAGCTGTGGCACGATTGCCAATCCTATTCGAAATCGTAATGGCTCTTTGGATGCGTTATGGCTTATACAGTAACTTGCAGGATCAGCCAATGTGCAGGCCAATGCTTTTGCCCTCCCGACGAGTCCAATACGAATTTACCGGCTCCGAAACGAAGGAAAGCCTGAGTGGTCTGAGCTGGAGCCGGTGAGGGATTTCGACAACCTGATGTTCCGTGATTAGTGGTGCCGTTTGCCATCCCTGCCAGTATTCGCCACAGAAGCGATTTGTACTGGCGAAATGAAGCCGTTCATAAGTGTTGCTACCCAGGAAAAAAAGCATCGAAAGTGCGTATCTCCACTCTGACGGACTAGAAACCGTGTATGTGTATGTGGCAAAAGAATCGCAATTCGCCGCGCCATGGGCGTCGCGGGCGACGTCGCCCCTGCTAAGGACGACGATTTTAGGTGTTATTATTTGAGAATAGACAATGTATGACCAAAAATAGACGTAAGTGCTACCATGTCATTGTCTACATCAAACCAGATGCTCCTCCAGTCGAAAGGGTAGGACAAATCAAGGAAACGTCGCGCCCACTGCCGTGCGCGACGAAGCGGCAATTTACGATCCTCTTGCCCGTCTTCCCCAGGAACCTTCTTCATTTTTCGCCTCTCGCCAGCCTATTGATATTCCAATATGAGGTGGCAGTTCTATCAGTGTAACGGTGGGAAAATCTGCGCACAAATCCGCTACTATCTCATAACTGATCGTGCCCCGGCATACCTGTAGGTGACACACTGACTTGACCTGGGACTTGGCAAACTCTCTGAGAGATAAACAAAAGGAAAGGAAGAATGTCATAAAAATTAGGTTGCCTTTTAAGAATAGCATTAGTTTCGAGCATGAGCCGTTTGTATCGCAGGACTTTTCCCTCATCCTAGTAATGACAGAAGCCTCATTTACACGACGACAACGACTGTTGCTTTCAATTTCATGACCGATGTTCAGAATAGGCTCATTTGGCGAGTCCTCTAGAGTATTCTGCTTGCCACATGGAATAATCATTAGCGTTTGAACATATGACTATTTGTTTCCCAACAGCAGTGGGTACTGTGAACAGGAATAACCTCTTCCTTTCTTCGTGTCTCCATTGATCATATCGCGCATAAGCTTCTCTTCTGCTGAAGAAGGAGTTATGCCTGAAGCGCCGCCATAGACGACTCAAAGAGAAGAAGAGGAGTATTGCAGGAGGCACCTTGAAGGCATATGACGTTCCTATCAATACAGGGCGGCTGTTCCTAAGCACAACAAGGTGCCTTACCGGTCCGCGAACGCGTATTCAAGGTGGTCGAATCACGAAGCATGGACGCTTTCTGAGGCTGTTTATATACCAAATGATTAAATAACGACAGTTTTTTGAAGTGCAGCAGCCCGCTAAACATCCAGGATCAATTCGCAGAGTAGGAAAAAAAGTTTTAGCCTCACATTAGAAATCATCGTCTCTGCTTGGCCAGGGCCTGTCAGTGCAGATGTAAATCAGTAGTGGTGCGGGTTTGCTTTGGCTAGGGAGCTGTAAGAATCACGCCTACTATTTCGATTCGGCCTACAACCTATCGGACACTTCAAGAAGCAACATCGACGCGCGTCAGCTTAAATAAGTTTCATGTAAACACACAAGTAGACGGCCACGCCATTCGCTTGAAAGCAACGTATGAGATCACCGTGGTTATTCAAGATGAGATGCATACTGCATTTTTTAATACTTGGCTCAGGTTTGGGTACCGGAGCTGCTGAACGATTTTGTGTACGAAATTATGGCTGCTCCTCCCATGGCCTAGCATGAAATCGCAGAAGCACCACTGGGCCAGCAAGACGAACTCTAGACACGTCTACTTGTAATCACCAGCTGCTCATCAACTAAAAACGAAAAAAAGTGATAGACAAGAAGGAACCGTTTTTGAACACCAACACTACAGAAAAGCGGCTCAAACTGGAGATTATATCGCTACCCCTTTGGCATGTACAGAACCGGAAAAAGCTCGGAACAAGCCAAAAATGCCTTTCTCTGAATTTTATGTAACTTGAAGGCAGTAAATTAACATCTAAACCACCGATATATTCTCGCGCATTTCGTCAACGAAAACACAGGCCTCATGTCCTCAAAGAAAATCCCATACAACCAACACACGCCTATGGCTAACCAGGGAAGTCCGCCAACTTACCATGGAACTTTGAATGGAGACCTGGGTAGATCGATAGAGTCTATAAGGTTATTTACAAATATAGATAGCAAAACTGCAACCTGCATTTCACAAGCAACTTATGAGCAGGTAAAGTTTGTAATGGTGCAGTAGGGTGGAGGCTTGGTGGTGAGCTGTGAAGCATAAGCGAGGAATCGCATACGTCGAATCGAGTCGTGGTGGTTCAGTGGTAAGTTCGACGACTCGATTCGACGTATGCGATTCCTCGCTTATGCTTCACAGCTCACCACCAAGCCTCCACCCTGCACCATTACAAACTTTACCTGCTCATAAGTTGCTTGTGAAATGCAGGTTGCAGTTTTGCTATCTATATTTGTAAATAACTGCTTATAGACTCTATCGATCTACCCAGGTCTCCACTGAAACTTCCATGGTAACCTGGCGGACTTCCTTGGTAAACGCCCTACTTGTCTGTGCTCTCTCACAGAGGATAGCGAAGACGGAGTATAGAGACGGCACCCGGGTTCCACTATACTCTAGCCCCATTCCCATGCACCTCTCAGCGGAGAAAATGATACGCAGCTTGCAACTATGCACCTAGCACGTAAAAAGCATCGTCCTCGGAAGGCATGGTCAGTCTTTGAATATTCCATTTTATTCTGTTTTTTTAATCCACAGAGCTATGCATCGCAAAACAGTCCATCCAACAGCTTTGCAAAGCAGATTAAACGAAAATGCCCAAAACGCATACAGCTATATACATCACGCCTTGAACAACCAGCGTCATCAAAAGTCCTTCATTTGTTAGTTATTTTACACAAAGTGCTCTATTCAGAGCGATCACTGACACTCGTGCAAAGCCTTTACACTTCAAGCGAAAGCGTTTTAGAGCTTTGAATTAGACTGAATATCTGTACGAGCGAGAACAAACATTAGGCATACACGGCACACTTACCATACAACGGCACAGCCGGAACGACCAACCTTGGAGCGAGTTGCTTCTCGATCAGCTGCCCATTGCGCATCGAATGCCGACGCTCCAAAAAGCTCTCGAAGACGTTGTCGTTCATTTGCGGCATGCTATAGGAGAGACAGCAGTGATTTTAAATAAAAATAACTCAGTTCGGATTCGGGCAACAAAAATCAAAGGAAATGGTTACGGCGTTTGTAACGGATAGAATAGACAACTTAGAAGAGGAAAACCTAGAAGATTTCTGCAAGAAAGAGGAATAGAGCGCAAAAAATGTCAGAGCACATGCAGAACATCAATACAAACTAAAGAATGAACAAATGTGTACAGGGAGGGTGGAATAGCAAATACCCATGACAAAATCCACTGTCTCAATGTCTAATAAGAGAACTCTCTAAACTGCAGACGAAAACAAATCTTATTTAATACATTTTAACCCTTTAATTAGGTGCTTGAAAACTTACTCGGTCGGCGTAGGTGCATAACTGCATCCGAAAGCCAAAGTTAGGGTTGATCATCGGTCGTTTTCGCGAAATGAGCGAAAGTGCATTGATGAATGACAGGTCGCAAACAGTGATTAGATAAGCAGCTACTACAGTCGCACTCCTTGAAACGCCGGCAAGACAGTGGACAAGGACTGCAGCTGAAAATAGGCACTTACACTCTGCACCAGAAGAATTTCTAAGATAATGGAAAGCTCACAAACCATGTTTCAATCTGGCACTATGGATAAACTGATTCGTCAGGGAGAAATGGGATGAAATATCAGCTGATGAACAGTCAGAAAGTTGAATTTTTAGCACCTTAACTTCCACTATGTTTTTTCCAGGATAAAGTCGTTGGTTAAAACAAAGGTATGTAAGTAAGGTCAACACATAGGGGAGACAAATGATAAAAAATTAACCTTTAATTGGTCGTGTGCAGGATGGCTGGCTGTCAGGTCATGCACAGAAACAACATACTGAAATGACAGATGATATACCGCTTATTACCAGCTATTTGGTCACATAATGTGGGGGTTGAAAATAAGTAGAACGTTTTCCATCGAACATATCGAATGGTCTAGATTCACTGCACGTCAGCATTACTCGGACATGTGATAATAGGGCTCTACCGCAGAATAACTCGCATTGAAAATCTCGCACGCAAGGTGCATTTATGGGAAAATGAAATCATTCCACTGCGTTCAGACTTCTCGATGACGCGCATTACTGTAACAATCGTGCTCCAATGGTGGGAACGCATCCTTAGGCGGACATCAATCGGCGTCGTCCGCCACTGTTTTGTGAAAGTGTAGAAAAATACAGGGGGGAACCAAAAAAGTCACTTTCTTCCTTGACTTTCGAGGCGCTATAAGTTACACTTTATAAATTCTGATCGGACATTTCTACCACCATATTAAAGAGCATATCAAATATTATGATACTCCGCCACAGCCTTCTGGAGGAGCGCCATCGAGAGATTCTGCCACGCGACCGTGATTCGGTGCCTGAGTTCAGCGAGATAGTTGATTTCTCCGCCACTGTAGACCACCCTCCACCCTATTGACCTATTGACCACCCTACTGAGCTCCGCATGAACCGGGTAATTGAGTGGATTTAGGTTAGGTGACCCACCCCGAACCTGTAGCAGTACAAAGTTTCCAAGAAGGTACGGGCGACGACATGTGAGGAGGATATTCTTCACGAGTTGCTCGATGTAACCGCCAGCGCTCACCTTCAGTCCGGGGTCCA